GCTATTTCACTACAAAGGACTAAGTATGACGTTCGCCGAAAAAGCCCTGGCTCGAAAACTCGTGGAGGGTGAATTATGTTATTTTTTCTCCATATACATGTGATATTGAGTAGGCCTACCGTATTGGGATGCATGCTATTATACTGAATGACGTCAACAAATTTAACTCAGACTCAGAATATGAAAGCTGCCTTACCATTGCTGTTCGTTGTTTGAGTTGAATTTGGGTCCTCTTGCTCTAATAACATTAAACAGAAACCTGTTAGTTATGATGTTAAAGATGTTGCTAATTATATTGGTGGTGGTGATGATGATGAATCGTGATGTTAGAGATGTTGTTAATTATATTGGTTGTGATGGTGGTGGTTATGTTGGTGGTGGTGGTGATGGTGGTGGAGATATTGGTAATTATATTGTTGAGAAATAATTAAGTGATGAATTTGAGATGCTGGTCAAGAATTTTTTTTTTTCAACCAGCACAACTTTACATAGAGATGATAACAAAAGCTTACCGTATTAAAATACATAACGATTTACATAGGCCTATTAGGTATGTTGCTGTATAGGTCACATCAAAGTTTGGGCATCACCAAATGTGTACTCACACTTACCGTGCGACCACTTTCCTTAGACCCGAGTGTGGTCTCTTTTATTTTTTTTATTACCTTCATATCCAACGGCAAGTACATTTTCTACTTACAGGATGGAATGATGTTCTATAAACTAAGTCTCTTGTTGAGGCCTAGGGGGTGGAGTTGTTCTTATTCATGAGAAAAAATCCTGCTGTGACAGGAATTGAACCCAGCACCTTAACCACTAAGCTATCCAACTCTACTACACTCTGAAGGAGAGGTCCAACTGTATTGATACTGTATTAAAAATTATTTGAGGCCTTCCAGTCACCCCCGTCACTACATAGGCTAGGCTATGTCACCAGTACCACATTGAAGAGAAAATATCGATTGTAGATTAACCAATGACCTGTACTTACCGTTTGTTTCCCCCCTTGTTAGCTCTATTCCATAAACAAAAAACACACATAAAAACGCCGTAGTGAGTTTCATTGCGAAGTATACGTATCAATTACAGTACAAAACCTCTATGACTTTCATCGGCCATGACAATGCGTTAGACTTCTTGCAACAGAAAGAAGGAAGTGTACTAAAAAAAATGCTTACAATGATCAACTAACATTGAATTTTATGTAACCCCTTAGGTAGCCTTTACCTACGCAATATTATGTCAACAAATAGGTTATTGTAAGTTTTGAATTATTTTCTTGTTGCTTAAATATCATGGTTGACTGGTCGTGAAAAGATTTCTGAGTTTCAGTACGTTGTCTATATGAACTCTTCAAATAGACCTCGGGCTCATGAAGTGTTACTAACTTCACAATAATTTCGTAGAACATAACAATAATATTTTATGTTTTATTTGTTTATGGATTATTTTTTGAGGCAAAACAAAGGTAATAATAAGCCCTACTGATACTTATAATAATAATAATTAACGATAAAATTAATATCATATCGAGAGAAATGGCTCCGGGTTTAGAAAATTCGGGAAAATCCCTAAAAATTCAATTGATCGCTAAATTGCTTATTTAAAAGGATCAAATCAAGCTATGAAATGTAACGCAAATTGAACCGGCTCAGTTTTCTTGTAACGCAAATTGAACCGGGTCAGTTTTCTTGTAACGCAAATTGAACCGGCTCAGTTTTCTTGTAACGCAAATTGAACCGGCTCAGTTTTCTTGTAACGAAAATTGAACCGGGTCAGTTTTCTTGTAACGCGAATTGAACCGGGTCAGTTTTCTTGTGATTTATGAACGTTTTACTACCAAAATATTAAATTTGATCGTAATAATAATAATAATTTGAATATTTATTAAGCGCTCTTACACAGATAGTCTCACAGCGCATCAAGGGAGGATTCAGAAAAAAAAAACAGGCATTATTTGCCTATAAGTTCATTAAACATGTATTTTTATTCATGACTGAAATAATAGTCTATTAAGCTGGGCTAAATTAAAACATTCAAGTAAGACCCATGAAAATATTAGTTTATTAACCACACTCGCGTCATGGTCGGGTTCAGGTAGGTAATAATACTAATAACAATAACAACAATAACAATAATAATAATAATAATAACAATAATAATAAGAATAATAATAATAATAATATTATTAATATTAATAATAATAATATTATTAATAATAATAATATTAATAATAATAATAATAATATTATTAATAATAATATTAATAATAATAATATTAATAATAATAATAATATTAATAATAATAATAATAATAACAATAACAACAATAGGCCTAATAATAATAATAATAATAAATTTCTTATATAGCGCATAACAAATCTGCCGACATCTCAATGCGCTTTACACAATTTCAAACGTATATTTAAAAAAAATACAATAAAAGTACGAAGCATTCACAACTCAAACAACCATTCCTAATTTGACACAATTTCACAAATTTAAAATGTCATATAAAAATAATAACCATCTAAAATTACCGGTAGCTCCCACTAACAAATAGGCCTATCCTGGATCTGTCCCTGCCAACTTATACAATGGTGTATGTAAAGTATAGAAAGGTTTACATATTTCGTATTCATGAGTCAGTACTGAAAAAAAAATTCATCGCTATAATTTTCAATTGAAAGTTAATTTCCAATTCAAATATTAAATGTTACTCTTCAAATTTGTTAGCTTAACGCAGACGATCTTTACTAATGGTATTCGCCTTTCGGCTAATGATTGATGAAAGCAATAGCATCAATATGAGATAAGAAATCAACCTTATCAGAAACAATGTTATAACTACTCATACGGGTTCTTTTTTTAACTACTCGTATACTCAAACGCGCGCGTACAGTACCACTTCTTCAAAATTGTCCGACCTATATAGATTTAATTTACGTATGCATACAGCTACGAATGACTTATTAAGTTAACTGATCAGAAATATTGCTAATGACTGGTACGACCGGCATGTCGTACGAAAAATATTTAAGACTTGCGGTATTAATCACGCTATCTTTTTCAGGTTGGTAATAACGTTTCTTCTTGATTAATAGTTATTCCAGTATCCATTTTTAATCATTATGATTATGGTTATTATTATGATTATGATTATGATTATGATCATTATTAATAGTATCATTATTATTATTGTTATTAATATTATTATTTCAATATTATTATTTTATTATTATTATTCTTATAATTACTATTAATGGGTATGATTACGACGACGATGATGATAATAGTGACGAAGATTATTTATTTTATTTTATTTATTTATTATCAAGTCCATTAGCAAAAAAAAATCGTCGCTTACTGTTGGGAACTTATGATATTGATGGTATAGCAGTGATGTTAATAATAAAGATGATAAGTGCAGTACATTTTTAAAACAGCGTGAAATACATAAACGCAAAGCTCCACGCTATTTCTACAGTGTTAAGATAATTATGGTGATAGTTATGATGATGATGAGTATGATAATGAAAATGAGAAGATGATGATGATGATGATGACAACCTAAATTGACATTATATTAGGCTTCGTTACCTAACAACATCTTCTATTCACAATATAGCTCTATCCAAAAGGCTTACCTGTGTGGACGAAGGCGAACGAAATTGCCAAGATGGCACGTGTATCAAATCAGATTACTGGTGCGATTTCACCGAAGATTGTCCGGATGGGAGCGACGAAGCAGAATGTTGTGAGTTTAGGATCTTCAAACTTGCACTCTTCAATAATTCAATATCATAAATTTGGAGTCTCTATGAAATAATTGTATTTTTTGTAATTGTAGGCAGTGGCAAAACCCCATGAGTTATCAGGGGTGAAGCCCCAGCACTCCCAGTCAAAGGGAGCCCGCAAGGGGCCCAAATCCTGGCCTGAATCCCAGTATTGATTTACATTTTACTGTAAACGATCAGTTTCACGATTAAAGACTGTTGTTTGTTATATTAAATGCCTCGTGGTAGTTTTTACTTATTCGAAATGATAATAATAATTTTAATAACAATATAACTTTAATAATAATAATAGTTACAAATGAACAAATAATGAGAAAGGTTATATTAAGTAGGCATAGGCCTATAATGTTGTTTTTTTATTAAATGCCTCTTGGTGTTTTTACTTATTCGAAATAATAATAATAATAATAATAATAATAATAATAATAATAATAATAATAATAATAATAATAATTCTAATAATAATATAACTTTACTAAGAATAATAGTGACAAATGAACAAATAATGAGAAAGGTTATATTAAGTAGGCATATATAAGCCTATAATTATTTAATAATTTCATATTGCAAAAACGCTATTAATTTGCAGCCTCAACGTGTAATTTCGAGGATGGCATATGCAATGGTTGGACTCAAGATATAGACGATGATTTCGATTGGTTATTGTGCAACCGTTCATCAACAAATGACTGTCCTGGATGCAACAAGACTACCATCCATGCAAGAGGATTGCTCTCCAGGCAGGAGGACTGCCCTGGATGTAACAGGACAATCGATACAAGCAGATGGCCCTCCATGCAAGAAGTCTGCCCGGGACCCCACAAAGATCATACCTACAATTCGTTAACAGGTGATAAACATAGGCCTAAGTAGAATTTTCTTTTTACTTGCATGTCACTACTCCCTGTGTCGCAGGGATTTTTGACCTTCTTGAATCTGCCGTTTCCAACCACTACCACCCCCTCTCCACCTACAATAGGAATTTATGCCCTTTAAAGAATTTTGTCTTAAGAAGTCAAAGTTACTAGTGACGTTATGTAAGGATGTGGGGGGAGAAATATCTGCGGCACGGACCTGCTTGAGAGTTTTAATAATATGACTAATTAATTCTAATTATTTCAATTGAAATTTAAGGTAATTATATCTATGTCAGTGGCTTGAATGCTCCAGCATGGCGTGAATCTAGAGCCAGGTTTATGAGCCCCATGTTCTCCAAAGTGAGCACCGACTGTTCATTTAGCTTATGGGTCAACATGTTTGGAGTAGAATTCGGTGACATCAACATACTTATCCGAAAGAAATCTGTATCTGGAGATAATAAGATGTTAAAGGTATCAGATAAAGTAATTGATACTTATAAGTGGATTTATGCCGAAGTTTCCATTCCACGCTGCGTCACATTTTTCCAAGTAAGTGATAATGTCTTCTGATATGATCATGCTATTGTACGCTACCAAGTTTCTTTCATAGCTCATCCCATCTCTAACCATATATTATATATATATATATATAT